ACTGAAATGAGACCTACCCACTACAATAGGTTCCTCATCTCTAAAGGATTAGTTGAAACATAATTAAGATTAGTTGAAACATAGGGCCTCTCATCAATAAAAGACCAATCATGTTACACTCCATTAAAATTTTGGATCAATAGAACTAAATTTTGCAACTGATGTAGAATAAATTTGAATCACTTTATATCAGTGGATTTTAACCAAAATGCAACGATGATACTTCAGGGATGCTGCAAAATTTAGTGCGGAACAGCTCTATAGTGCATTACTAAGAGTACAATAACTCTATATTGATAAAAAAGTAGGGAGATTACAAGAAAAAAATGAACAAGTCTGGGATGCCACAGTAAAAATGTAGCTCTGAATGAAGCAGTCAAGACCTTACCCAGATCAGAGTTGTAGATCATGCCCATAAGAGTAAACTAAAGATCTGCATGAGACCCTTAGCAAGATATAGCCTCCCTGAAATCTGACTGGGTAGCTCATTAAACACGTGATAGACTTAACAGAGTCTATCAAGTGTTTAGCGTGATAGACTCAGTTAAGTTCAATTCCAAATGCACCACAGTAGTAGTCAAGGCAATGACTTTTCTCATGTTTTTCAGTCATCTCCAGTAAAGCGAAAAACAGTTGATTTTTATCAATATTTTGAGAAACAGTTCTGGATTTTTTCACTTTTAAATTTTAACCCATTTTTGATAGTCTTCTAAACTGCAGATAGGCTGATTTCAAGGGATTATATCTCACAAAGGATTACATGTATGCTATTGGTTCCTTTGACTTTTTTACTCATACAGGCACAGTCTACAGCTCTGATAGAGTGCCAACTGCCTCATTCAGAGCTGCATTTGTACTGGTGCCATTATTAGGAAAAAGGATACTTTTCTGTTAACGGAATGACCCTTTTCTGTTAACAGGATTTGTAACTTTAATCTGACAAGTGATACAGTCATCAGCATCACTCTGCTAAGATGTTTAACTATTTGGCACACCCGACTATGCTGGCTTCAAGTAGTCCACTTAACAAGTAACTTGATGTTATATACTTTAGTGGGAGTGGGGCTCGACCCAACCTGGGCATCGAGGTGCAAGCTATAGCGGGTGCCAAAGTGCACGACAACACGGAGCACAGGTATATCAGCATGTTAAAAACTGACCTTTGGAGGCAAATATCTCACGAAGGGTCACATGTATAGGTATGGTTCCTTTGAATTCTTTGTTCCTATGAGTATGCTCTACAGCTGTTATAAAGTAGACTCAATTCAGAGCTTGAATTGAACCTACTTTATAACCTAAGATAATTCTTTTCTAGATCTAAGAACACTAAATTGATTGATTACAATGCTGACTGATAAGTAATTATCAGCATCGTAATGTGTTTAATAACTGATTAGAACTTGAAAGTTTTCTAGAATTCGAGTTGTTCTGGAAAATAAACGGAATTTATTCGAATCAAAGCACAAATTAACTTCTCTTACTCGCTCTGAAATATCCGACAACGCCGCCGACTGCAACTGTCGCCGCATAACCCGCAATGAAAACGTCAACTCCCATCGACAGCAGAATTTATCACGAGGTTCCTAAATCAAAAATAAATATTGTACATCTGCTTCCTTTACGCTTTAAATTCATATCGCCCCCTGGTATCAAAAGTATCTTTACTTTTTTTTTTCCTTTTATTAATTTATTAATTTATGAAAATTTTGGTGATTTTTCTTTAAATATATTTTTAAAATCATTTTTCGGTAATTATTTTAATTAAATTATATCAATAACTTTTCTTAACGTTCCTAAAAATTTGATTACGTCAGTTGCGTACAAGTTTCTTCCCCCCTCTTTCCTCCCTGAGCAATAAAAGGGCCTTCTACTCAAGCCCATCATTGATTCAACCAAATTCACAATGGGGCAGCCGGATGATGAGAAACGGGATTCATATCGTGACGGTCGAACCATCCCACGAAAAATTATTGGGTTTTTCCTCCCGTCCTGATTTGATCTCGGGTTCTCCAGAGCGGTAGACTGCCACCTTAAAATCTTACAGAAAATCTTTAAACTTTTACTATTAACCACATTTTACTTGAGTGTAGAGAAAGAGGGTTAAAACCATAATAGTATATTTAGGACGACGGCTATATGGCTAGAGCAATAGGCCGAAGATTCAGCCTACCGTTCTGGGGGACCCGGAATTGGATCTGAATAGGTCGTAAAATCGAAGAATTTTTCGGGGATGGTTTGTCCAGATATGTTGGGCCCATCCCTCACTACCCGGCAACCTCTTTGTGGACCTGACCGAACTCATAATGGGCTTGCTAAAAAAAAAGCCCTTTAGTGCTCACAGGACGAAAAGAGTAAAACAAAAAGTATATTTAAGTCTAGATAGAAGGGCCAGCAGGATAATTGGGTAAATTTACGCTTTAACATATAAAAGTGTTTTTCTCCTTCACAAAGGAAAGAAAGGACCTCTCTCTTTTCTCATATGAGTCATATGTTATAGCTAGAGAAAAGATTTTAAAGTGCAGCACTTTTCCAAAAATACAGCTGTTTTCATACGGATAATTCAAGATATATATTTTGACACTTCAACACCTTTTTCCTCTCTTTTATCTGTTTTTAATTAAAAGATTGGACAGAAAAATAAATAAATAAATAAAACAAATTATTTTTACTCTTCTTGAGCAGCTACATGAAATCCCATAGCTTTATTTTGTAGAGCAGATTGAGAGCTATAAAACGATATATTTACCATCGTTGTAGCCTCAATAATTCCCAAGATAATATAGTAAAAACCCGCAGAGAAAACACAAACTTCGACAAAAATCAATAGCGTTCTTTCTCAAGTTCTTTATAATGTCTGCGCTCATTATACAAAGAAGATTCAGAAAAAGAGAACATTTCATTTTGGCCTTGGACTTTGTGCATAGTTGTTCTATATAATTAGTTGTGTTAGTGTTATACCAGTGTTATACCAGAACCCATTCTTCACAATAAAAACATGCCAAAGTTTAAGAAGGGAAAGTTGTATGCGCTTTCAGAGTTCAAGATGTAATTAATCGAAATTGATGGTCTCATTCTTCCGTCTGCGGTGTAAATATTGCGATCGATGAGAAGCATCAAAGAGATAAAATAAACCAGAATATCCGGTACAGAAAGCATGCGAAGAACGTTGAACTTTACAAGTCAAAACCTAAGCAAACTACATTGATACATGCCTTCACTTCAGGATCTGAAAAGCAGCGATCGTCGAGTGAGTTCTGTGCAGATGTTACCATGACATTAATCAAATGAGGAATTCCAATCCACAATGTAAACAATCCTATTCAAGTCATTCCTGATCCATGAGAACGCTCTTAGAAAAAATTACATAAAGCCAATTTATGAGAATTTCTTTGAGAAAATAAAAGAGGTGATCGGCAAACATGAAGAGGGATTTATGTTAGATGAAATTATCGATGAGCTGCAAAGATATATGTTAAATGTGCTGGTATTTCCATTATCTGATGAATGGGTGAAATCCATACTTTGTAAGATGTACCAACTCGAGAAGACAAATGCCTGCACAGTGATGGAGTCATTCAATGATTTATGCATGAAGCTGTGGCCAGGGAACATACAATACAAAATAGTCAAGTTTGTGGTGATCGATCAAGCACGCTATATGGTTTCGGCTTTCCAACAACTGAAGGCCATGTACCCAACTTCAACCACTTGACACGTATTGTACATGTCAATGAAGTCCTCTCAAAAAGGCATTAAAACATAACAATACAGTCTATTGATTGTATTGGTATATTTTAATGCCTTACAGAGAGGAATGAGGCCTTACATTTGGAAATTTTTTTTTATAAAAGAAAACTTTATCTTCGCTTCCTTTTATATAAATCACTTTGATTTGTTATCATGTTTAGTTCATGACGTTTAGTTTATTGATCCCAGATAAATTTATCATATTGATTTATTAGCAAACCAAAATGACAACGTTTGCAGTAATTATGAATAAAATTCAGAATACAGAAGTAAAATTTTGCTTCTAATCATTGAGATAATCCAATTTCACTTTTCTCTCTAGAAATTGCTCCCGATGGATTCGTAATGGATCCATCAAAAGCTGTTGTAACAACAATTTTCTTATATTAAATACATGAAATGTCATTGTATAATTTATTAGTACAACTATCTGAGTTTATTTTCTAAGTAATTATATAATTAATTATGATTTTTATTCTTTTCCACATCGAAAGGTGAAAAAAAAAACGTGAAGATCTCAAGAAGGATTTTCAAATTAAAGTTTTTTTGCTTGAAAAAGCAGCATTTCAAAAAATTATTTCCTTTATTTCCTTTTATTACCAATTATTATCAATTTATATAATTTATTAATATGTAAAATATAGAGTCTGAGAGAGGTGAGAGGGTGTCGAGTTAGTCATAATTGTGATTCTCTCTCTCTGAAAGCCATAGAAATGTGTGAATAAGATCAATAAAATTAATGAAAAATAGACTTTTTCATCATTTATTGCAAGAAATTTTTATTTAGTTATATCATTCAAATTTTATGGCTCTTCCGTGCTAAATTTCTATCCCTATTATTATTTCTATAATGAATCAGATTTATTTATGCATGATTAAACCCCTATAAACTTGATGTTCAAGATCTTTTGGTTCGGCTCCTGAAGGGCCTCAAAATTTACTCCTTATATTTAAAAAAAGTAATATGAAAATGTATAAATTAAATATGTTTTTATTTGTTTTATTCATAGATTTTTATGAATTCTGAATAGGGGAGAGAGTATGTGACTGACTGAGCTCCATTTCATTTCTCTCAGGTCCTGTATATAATACATAAACATGTACTGTAGACACGATATTTACGTATTTAAGCTGTTTTTAAAGTTAAAAATCATTTATCATGCTTTTTAAAGACAACAATGTATTTAATTCAAGCTGAAATAGCATTATTATTTATTACTTGATTATTTGAGAACTAGAGGAAGGGTCGTCGAAAGTTTGGTATGGGGAAAGGGTAGAGAGGATCTTTAAGTGATTTCTACTCCTATAAATTAATAGGAGTAGAACCACTACGGTCCCCTAAGTTTTCTGGGCGGAAAAAAAATCAGCTCCTCTCGATAGCTCTGACTAGAAGGAAGCCTAAAACTTAGTTAACAATTGTAAATACTAAATTTCTATCTTGTTCAAACATTCAATCATATTTCTTTTATCATGTTTCTTTCAATTGTGTAGAAGAAAAACACGTTGTTCTAAATTGAGTTTACGATTTATATCTACAAGTGAACCTGCCTAACAACGGCCGAGAAGATAAAACAGCTGAACACTAGCAGTTGGTCGTGAGTTCGTACCTCTTCAACGGGCTGGCCATGTGGAATTTTCCGGGTTTTAAATATATTTAGGGACCACTTTAGCATAGAAAGTTCTCTCGGGAGATCGTCCACGTGTCCGTTGACGTATTATCAACAACTACTACAAATGAATGTGTTAACTGATTAACAAGATGAATTTATTCATAGGTGTTTACAATAATATTAAATTTAAACAATTATTATGCAATTAGACTACAAAAATAATTTATACATTTAATACCTATTTTTATCTAGATCTTTCGATTAAAAAAAAAATTTAATCTATTTTCAGACCCAAAATTGTAATTTGTGAAGATCTTTGACTCGAGAAAATAATCAGATAAACAGTTGAAATTAAAAAAAAATACTCCGAGATAAATTTTATTAGCTCTTAGTCAACAGAAACTTCAACAAAAACAAGTCGAGTAGACGATACTCAGACAGGATCTAGTTATATAAATTGTGATCAGCATCGACACCATTCTTTGTTTATCACGAGTTTATCAAACTTTCCGAATCCTTGAAAAGTGTCGACGTACGCGAAGCTAATTATGATTTTGTGAATATTTTCATGTAGGAAAATATTCACAAATTTAGACAGATTTACACTAGAAAACGTACTTTATTCTGAACGTCACAGAAAAGGCATAAAGTCTACGACTATTGTATTCAGATCACAAAGATTAATCTGCGTAATCTCCAGTGGGATGAGGCTCATAGGTGGTCGAGTGAATAAAACCACGGAATGGGTTCGTGCCTCACTAACCGGCTGACAATGTGAAGTTTTCTGAGTTTTCTTCACCTAACACCTTAATAGGGGCCAGTTTTCTTTAGGAAGTTCTCCCGGGAGACATCCCCTTGACAAATCGTTGGTTTATAGAATGTGTTGTGTTGGCACATTCCACAAACCAACCAAACCAAGCGGGATGAGTTTCTAAAATCCACAATATATTTATTAGTTTTAATCTGTTTTGAATCGTGTAGTTCCTTAGGCAAGCGTAACTTGCTAAGCATCATTTATTAGTTAATATAGTATTAAGCCCGTATCACAAATGGTACTTAGACAGATTTTAATATAATACATTGCATGCAGCGATCGCGTTGCATGCAATGTATTATATTAAATTGTGGAACTCAAAAAATTCCAGACAGAACTCCAAATTTCTTCCACGTTCGTTTAATCTGAGGGGAGCAAAGTTGATATCTACAATCTCTCTTTACATAAGAGAGATAGAGGGGGAGTCAACAAGACCATATCGTCGAGCCCCTGGACATTAGCAGATTCAGTAATCTTTAGAGGGAAAGCAGAAAGGAAACAATATGTCTTATAAAATATATTACAATTTAGGATACCCGGCTTTACTCGGGGAAAAACCCTCAGAAGGGGTTCTCAGCCGAATCCTGTGTACCACAGCAAAATTCGCCCTCTCCCTATGCACAGAGAGGTCCAAAATTTTGTTTTTTTAATATAAAACTATGATATAAATCAAAGTTTATTTTGATAAGAGGTGAAAAATCATCTGTTATTATTTGTTTTATTGATTTTATTAATATATTTTTATGACTTTAAAGAAAGATGGGCCCTCATATTTTTAATTAGTCTAGACATCATTTAACTTTCTCATGTATTGTATGCTTTAGTAGGGAACACATATATATTTATTAATTTCTGTTAAATAACACAATTCATTAATTAATTAGGCCTATTAATTTTACATTAATGTACTATTGATGCTTCTGTTAATTAAGCAACAAATACTTTGAATGATCTTTACAATATTTATTAATTGTATTATAAAAGGCTAATTAAAATTAATAATAATTAATTTTCTGAAAAATTGAATTTTGCTTTTATCTATTTAATTTATTTTATTTATCAATGACAAGGCTCAGATGGAGGAAGCAAAACCACTTGACCTAAGCTCTAACCCCACAAAAGGCCTCAAAAATGTGATTTTAAAGTGATATAAATCAAAGTTTATTTTGATTAATGGTTTTAAAAAAAATTCCATTTTTTAATTTTTTAAAATTAATTTTATTTGTATAATTCTGTAGCTTAGGAAGAGGAATGGAATCCAGTCTCACATCTCTCAACATTTGTTCATGGTATTGTTGTCTGTGAGAAGCTGAATTCTCATCAACTTCAAATGAGATCAATATAATTGCACCTATGTACAGTGAAATGAACTGTTATTAAATATAATTTATTCGGAAAATAACTTTGATTAATGAATAAAACTATGAGTAAACTGTTATAATATAACAGTTTACTCGTATTTTTATTCATTATTCAAGAGCTGTTCGTAAATACTTTATTCGTTAAGTAATAATTTACCTGAAAACTCATTCGTATAATTAGAATTGCCATTAAATAGAGTTAAAGATGGATATATTTTTTTAACTCTAGATGAACCAAAAGTCAGTTAACCGATAAGATTATTTTAAGGTTAAAAACGGTTAGGGACTGTTTATCTGTTAACTAATCTTCTTAATAGCTATTTTTAATTTTCTATAAAGTTTCTATAAATTAAAAAATAGGTATTAATAAGATTAATTAATACTTAGTTTGACGAGGCTCAGAAGGGCCCTTTAAAAGTAACTTGAACCTCGATAAAGAGGGCTTCAAAATGTAATCTTTTATGTAAAGAAACGTGATATAAAATCCTTTGGGGACATAATTTAAAATTCTGTGGGCACTAATAGGGCTTTTTTTAAAGCGAATCATTGATTCTTAGGCCCGCAATGAGGGAAATAGAAAGGTGAGAGAGAGGCCCGATATATCCGGGTCAAACCGCCCATAAAAATTTCGGAGAGGTCCTAGGTATGCGACGACCCAATTCTGTCACCTGTCTCTTAGCTCTTATCAATTACACAAGAATAAATTTAAGAATTTATGAGGATTTAGTTAGAGTTTAATTTAGTTTAAAATGCTTTTTTAAATTTTAATATAAATAATTTGTAAATAAATTATAATAAATTATGAAAGTATTCTAATTTATTAATTGTATTTATCGGTAGAATAGCTTTTAACAGTCACTTAATAAACACTTAAAGAATAATAAACATGAAAAATTCTGAATGCTTTTATATATGTTACTTCATTACTACACATAATACGTATTGTTTAACGTAGAGTAGTAGATTAACTTCAATTTAACGCCACACCCGATTTAGTGCCAATTCAGAGGCAAACAAGCTTATTATTACCGAGTATATAAATCGCTGACACTGGTCGTGGGTTCGTGTCTCGCCAACGGGCTGAGTGGATAAAACCACTGTACACTGGTAGTTGGTAGTGGGTTCACGCTTCTCCAACGTGCTAGAAACGTGAAGTTTTCCAGGGTTTCTTCACGTTTGTAACACCAAAATAGGGGCCAGTTTCATATAAAAATTCTCCCGGGAGGCATCCTCTTCAGCAGATCTCCACGTGTCGCGTTGTCGTAACCAAATAAACCAAACCATACCTTAAGACAATTCAAATTTGAGGCAAATCAAATTTGGAAGAAAAAAAATAATAAATTGACTCATCTAAATGACCAATAAGTTGAAAAGACAATTTTCTGTCTTATTGGTTGACAAAATTTTTTAAAATATTCTTTCTGCTCTGTAGGCTCTCTTAATGCCCATAGAAAGAGTTAAAAAAAATTAATTATACACTTAAGAAAATTGACTAAAATTCTTTTTTTAATATTAAGTGGAATATAATTAATTTCAAACGTTTTAAATCGAGAAAAAGTAATTACATAAGATGAAAGAAGAGAAATTAAACGTTCTCTGCAGTCATAATCATGCGTTGTTCATGTTATAAGCTTCATGCATATTAATGACATCAACTCATCGGATAAGAATATAAATGCACAACTGTTCTAATATTCTAATGGAAAAAAATTCTCGTTATTCTTTAATTAAGACATATAACTAATATTCTATTCATTGTAAACTGAGGATGATCATATAAATAGACGAAAACGTTAGTACTGTATATAAAGAATAATTTTGGTTTCCGAAACAATTTGGCCTTGTAAATTACAATACAAAGCCAAATTTCACACATTCTCTTGACAAAATTATTTATTTTCTCATTTATTTACCACATCAGTGATTTTTCCATGCAGAGTGTGTTGTATTGTTTGTATACGTCAACGCGACATATGGGCGATCTGTCGAGGGGGATATCTCCGTTCACTCCTTTTGAAGCTTAATAACTCCTGTGATTTTTGTCGAAAATTTCTGAAATTTTTCACGAATGTTTGTATATTAGAGGGATTGATGCTATTAAATTTTGGTGGTTAAAGATCGAAGAGGTGGGGAGATAACAATAGTCGTTTGTATCTCTTGTAGGGTCAGACAGACTTAATGACAATTTTACTCGTTATTAGCATTTACAATTTTTTATAAAACTCATCTCTACCCTCAAAATTAAGGGTTTTTTTGCCATTTTATAAGTTAAAAATATTAAAAATTTTTAAAAATAAAATATGATAACAGATGTCGCCACTAAAATTTTAAATGTTGCCGGGAAAGTCGAGCAACTCGTTGTAGGTTTACTTTCTGTCTAGAAAACTAAGGAGAATTACAGTTATGCTCCTAATTATAAAACTACATTTCTTTCTTGCCAAAAGCAACTTAGATCTCTTCTATATCTTGTAGAATATCAATATTGTTTAATGCTGGTTTTACGCTTATATTTTCGAAACAAATTATTCGGAGGTCGTTCGAACTCCGAATCCCTCGACATCCGAATCAAATTTTTTCATTAGAAATAATATAAAGTGAATAAATCCATTTTTAGACCGTAAACAATATCCATTTCGATAAACTTAAAACAGTAAATAAACATAATTTAAGGTAAAAAAATAACATAATTGAATGCCTTAATAATAACTTAAAACATAAAAAGTATAAATAAAATACGTAAATAGTGTATAATAAAATGAAAATTGTAGTTACTCGTCGTAAATATAAGAATAAAATATTAATTATTTAACATATTATATATTAACATATGTAATATGTTAGATAATGTGAGATTTTATTCGAATTTTGCGTTCGAACTGTGAAGCGTTCGAAGTTAGAGTCGTTCGAAGTACCACTCTGTTTTATTTTTTTAATTTCAATGTTTATCCTTTTTAAAATACTCTCAAGTCGCACCTAAAATAGAAGCGGAAATCTCGGAAGATAATACCTTAAATGTTTTCATTGTATTCATTTGAATACCTGTTAAGTCTTCAAATTGTTTTCTTGTAATGTAAATTTTAATTTTCGGCAACAGAAAAAGAAATTATAGAGCCAGATCTGTTGAGTAAAGTGCGTGCTCCAGTATTATAAGCTTGTGATAAAGGAATGAATCGGTTGCGTGACCTCTCAATAGAAGAGCTAATTAGGGCAATCTTGTCGTACAAATCCATTGGGCAATCTGTTCATCGCACAGTCTCTTGAAATGAATCAATTTGGAAATCATTCTTCTAAAGAGTCACGACATGGATTCGCTTTAAGTGGCACAGTTTATCAAAGTTGTACTGATTGCAACAAATTTTTTAGGACAATATGCACTGTTTTTAGATGCCACAGTGAAGACTACGTCTTCCGTAGTAACTAAAAATGGATTGGATTGATAGTCTAAGGCAGTGTTTCTCAACCTCTAACGAATCGTAGCCCCCTTCAACGTAGTATCGCTCCCTTCAATAAAACCGTTACGTAGTATCGCTCCCATCACTTCAAAATTCCGATGCCCAGGGCCAAGGCTAACGCCAAATTCGTACTGCATTGAATAGACTAGTGACTAGTATAATGTTATTTGTTTAATTATTGTACGATATAACGAATAAAATATCTAATTATTCTTAATATAATGTTTTACTATATCGCCCAGAAAATTGTTTTTCGCCCCCCAAAATATAAATTGTTGTTAATCGCACCCTGAACATGGAAAAACGCCCACATGGGAGCGATATCGCCCCCGTTGAGAAACACTGGTCTAAGGCAACGGAAACGAAACACGTGGGCGATCTGCCAGGTTAAAGATGTGTTTCCTTGGGGTTTTCTATGGGAAACTGGCCCCTATTTTAGATGTTAGATAGGCAAAGAAAATCCGGTAAACTCCACGCTTGTTGGTGAGGTGCGAATCCACGACTAACTACCATTGTTTAGTGGTGCTTTTGTTACCATTTTTTTCATTTGGGCACTGGTGGGCTACTTACAAATGCACTCACTCTATTCAAACACACCAAGAATTCCATATTTTCAAAAAAATTTGTCTTTCATTCTTGCTTTTATAACACTATATAATATGTTTCGTTTATCCTGCAGAG